GCCAGCTCAGCCCACCAGGGGGCGGGGCTGGCTGGCATGTGGTGCTGGGGGATTGAACCGCGGTCCCTTTGCTTTTGCTAAGTTTGTTCTAAGTAGGTGCTTTAGACCACTGAGCCATCTCACCAGCCCAAACATGCCCAATTTATTATCACTGGCTCTGTGTCTCTTTGGATAAGGCATTTGTATGAGTTTGGAATTTAGATCTTCAACTGAAAAATGGGATCCCAAGATCCTCCCATGCCCGCTGTGACGGGCTCTCTGTGCCGGTGACTGCCATAACTCATATTTGGGTTGCCTACTATTCCTTTTGGACAAGCTTTCCAGAAAGAGGTGAGGTAGGAGTTGTGTTTCTGCCCCTTTCATAAAACAGAGTCCTGGGGCTGGGGAGATAGCTCAGTAGAATAAGTGCTTGCCTGGCAAGCTCAAGGTTCTGAGTTCATTCCCTGGTTCCGCCATAAATAAATAAATAAACCAGAGTCCTAAGGCCACCAGGTCTCAGAGTAAGGAGTGGGATGCAAATCTCCTTACTCCTAGCCCGGTGGCCTTTCCAGTGCCCTATGGAGATGGGTGTGTGCCTGAGTCAGTGGTCCTCAGTAGTCACCTGGCACTTAGGCCAGAAACCCTTTATAGGATTTATAGGGCTAGGGCTATATGAGAAGGTCCTTTCGTAATTTGAATACCTAGCAGCGTGGTCCAGTAAAAAACCTCATGAAAAATCAAATAGATTTGTAATATGATTTGATATGTATGAAGCCCATTATAATAAAAAAATGCAAATCTTTAATTTTCTCTGAGCCCCAAAATTGGGCCACAGATTTGAGGGTGATCTGAACAAAACTTCCTTGAGCCTATAAAATGGAATTGTACTGCTGTATTGTTTGGAAGTGAACTGTGAATATGCATGCAGATTATCTTGTTGCTTTTACATCTTGGGGCCAACAGAACAAGGCTCTGCAATAATCTTTGTGACCCCCTAGAGCTGATTGGGCACAGCTAAACAAATAATCAGACAGTGGCTCCTGAATGGAACCCAGAGTGTTGAAGGTATCCTCTCTGACCCTGACCACTGCACCACTGCCTACTTCCTGGGGACTTTTCCTTCCTTGTTCCCATCCTGAGTACTGTTTTTTTGTCTCTTCCTTTCAAATCCCCTGATGTGGTTTCTGTTTCTCAGTAGAAGGAAGAGGCCAGGCAGAAGAAGGAACTCACTGAGCCACTTCCCACTCCACTCCATGTTGGCTGTGCTCTCAGGTGAGAGGGTGCTGAAGGGATTGCAGCAGGGAAAAATTAGACCTAAGGCAGCAGGCCGACAAGGGTAGCCATTTTGCACATTTTGCACAGGAATGCTGGGAAATACTAGTTGTGGGGCCTCCTCCTCCCAGTGAGAGAGATTTCCATTGTTTACTTCGCTAGTCTGTAACCTTGGGAGTCATGGCCCCTTGACCTTCACTATGACCTGAGGTATCCTTGGCCTCTTCTAGCCCCATACGTTTTGGGGGTTTTGTTTTTGTTTTTTGTGTAGACATAATAGTCTCAAGTATACCCCATTTTTTTCAAGTAAAAATATTTTATTCAATGCTTTAATACTGAAATCAGCTATCATACATATCCACCGACTCTTACTATCTGTGTCACAGGAGATATTTAAAGCACAATTAATTTGATGCAGCTACCCCATATTTTAGACATACTAGTCTTGGACATTGGCCAAACTTGGGTAGCTAAGTGTTAACCCCTGATTTCTGTGACTTTTATTTATTCTTCAAGTTTCTGACCAGCAGCCTCTGACATCCCAGTTCATCTCCCTGGTTTCAGAGGCCCATGCCCTCTCCCAGCCTCTGAGACTCTCCCTGACCTCTTCTCCTCATGTCTAGGCTGGCGCCATGCCCCCCCCTGCAGAGGTGACGGACCCATCCCATGCCCCCGCCGTCCTGCGCCAGCTCAATGAGCAGCGGCTCCGTGGCCTCTTCTGTGACGTCACCCTCATAGCCGGAGATACCAAGTTCCCTGCTCACCGTAGCGTCCTGGCTGCCTCTAGTCCCTTCTTCAGAGAGGCCCTGCTAGCTTCAGCCCCACTGCCTCTCCCACCAGTTACTGGGGGCTCAGCTCCCAACCCTTTGACCACCACAGCTGCCTCTTCTTCCTCTTCCTCCTCCTCTCCCTCTCCAGCCTCTCCCCCTGCTTCAAGCCCACCCCGGGTCCTGGAGCTGCCAGGAGTTCCAGCAGCTGCCTTCTCTGATGTTCTCAACTTCATCTATAGTGCTCGGCTTGCCCTCCCTGGAGGTGGAGGGGACGGGGCAGCCGTGGCAGAGATTGGAGCTCTGGGACGGCGTCTGGGCATCTCCCGTCTACAGGGCCTGGGGGAGGGAGGTGATGCCTGGGTGCCTCCTACCCCAGCCCCCATGGCCTCCTCACAACCTGAAGAGAACAGCTTTGGTTCTGGGCCTAGGCAAGATGGAGAGTGGGAGGGTGACAGGGCTGAGACCCAGGGCCCTGACTCACAGCCCTCCTTCCCCCGGCGGCCCCTTCCTTGCCCCCAGTGTGGAAAAAGCTTCATCCATCCCAAGCGGCTGCAGACCCATGAGGCCCAATGTCAACGGGGGGCCAGCACTCAGGTCTCTGCAGGGCTGGGAACTGGGGGCTCTGGTCCTGGGGGTCCTGCAGGAGTGGATGCCTCAGCCCTGCCTCCAACAGTGGGCTTCCGAGGTGGTCCTGAACATGTGGTGAAGGTGGTGGGCGGCCACGTGCTGTACGTGTGTGCAGCCTGCGAGCGATCCTACGTGACCCTGTCCAGCCTGAAGCGCCACAGCAATGTCCACTCCTGGCGGAGGAAGTACCCATGCCGCTACTGTGAGAAGGTCTTTGCCCTGGCTGAGTACCGCACCAAGCATGAGGTGTGGCACACCGGGGAGCGTAGGTGAGTGGCCTTGGGCCAGGGGGAAGCGGGGAGGGCTTAAGAGTCAGTACTGAAGGACAAGAGTCAGGCCATAGGGACAAGGAGGGAATATGCAGAGTGCAGGGCCTAGAAAGTCATCTTGAACCTGGCCTGTTTACACCGGGCCTCTGCTGAGTGTGTTCTACCCACCTGCTTCTCTCCAGCCTCTCAGTTCCTCCAGCTGATGTTTATCATCACCTTACCTGCCATGCCTGGCTTCCTGCTTTGGGAAAAGCCATGAAAGAAAAAGTTGCCCACATTGGAGAAAACTGGGAGCACAGGCATGTCTGCCAGTACCTCATAGCAGGACCTGGTGTTTCCATGGAGCATCCCTGTTCATAAGTCATTTCCCCCTTCTGTCATTCATGCTTCAGAAGGCTTTGTGAGTTAGGAGTGTGACTAATACCAGTTCACAGATGGAACGCCTGAGGCCAGGAGTCTAACATCAGTTGGGGTACTGAGATGGGACTGGTGCCCCTGCTGAGGCTGGCAGCGTGAAGCGAGCGGCATGAAGGAGGGTGTGTAGGTGCCTCGGGGAGTTACAGGTTTGAGGGCTGCAGAGGATCTGGGAAGCCAAGGCTATTTCAGGGACTTGACTCAAGTGGCTGTGTTCCTGCCCTGTTCCTTCCTGTAAGGTATCAGTGCATCTTCTGCTGGGAGACCTTTGTCACCTATTATAACCTGAAGACCCACCAGCGAGCCTTCCATGGCATTAGCCCCGGCCTCCTAGCCAGTGAGAAGACACCCAATGGAGGCTACAAGCCCAAGCTCAATACCCTCAAGCTGTACCGCCTACTGCCCATGCGGGCAGCCAAGCGACCCTATAAGACATACAGCCAGGGAGCCCCTGATGCTGCCCTTTCTCCAAGCCTCCACACCCCAGCCCCTGCAGCAATGCCAGCCAGCTCACCACCTGTACCCCCACCTGTGCTGGAACCTGGCCCACCACCTTCTGTCATCACCTTTGCTCACCCAGCTCCCTCTGTCATTGTCCATGGAGGCAGTAGCAGTGGTGGAACGGGGGTTGGGGCGACCAGCACAGGAGGGTCCCAGGCTGCCTCAGTCATCACTTACACTGCTCCCCCAAGGCCCCCGAAGAAACGAGAGTACCCACCTCCTCCCACTGAACCTGCAGCAATATCCACCAGCCCAGCTACCACCATCAGCCCAGCCACAGCCGCAGGACCAGCCACAGCCATGGAGGAGGCCAAGGGCAGGAATCCACGGGCTGGAAGGACTCTAACTTATACAGCCAAGCCAGTGGGTGGGACTGGTGGAAGTGGGATCCCCTCCACAGGGCCAGGCCGGGGTCCTTCTCATCTGCAGGCACCACCTCCACTGTGTCAGATCACTGTGCGAATTGGGGAGGAGGCAATTGTCAAGCGCCGGATCTCAGAAACCGACCTGCGTCCTGGGGAGCTGAGTGGAGAGGAGTTGGAGGAGAGTGAAGAGGAGGATGAAGAAGAGGAGGACGATGAGGAGGAGGAGGAGGAGGAGGAAGAATCAAAGGCTGGAGGTGAGGACCAGCTATGGAGGCCCTACTACTCATACAAGCCTAAGCGCAAGGTTGGAGCTGCTAATGGGAGTAGCAGTGGGACTGGTGGAATGTCTCGAGGGCGCAGGCCAACACGTTGGAGGCAAAAGCTGGAACGGAGGGGCTGGGAGGAGTCACCAGCAGTGGAGAGCCCAACAGGGCGTGCCCGGAGTGAGCGGAGGCACCGATGTGGAGACTGTGCCCAGACCTTTGCTACCTTTAGAAAGCTTCGAAAGCACCAGGAAGCCCACAGTGGGGGCTCCCACAGCTCACGGGCTGGACGGAGGGCTTCCACCCGCTTTACCTGCCCACACTGCACCAAGGTGTGCAAGACAGCAGCTGCCCTGAGCCGCCATGGGCAGAGGCATGCTGCTGAGCGACCAGGGGGCACCCCCACACCTGTTATTGCCTATTCCAAGGGCAGCACTGGCATCAGGCCTGGGGATGTCAAGGAGGAGGCCCCCCAGGAGATGCAAGTGTCCTCGTCCAGTGGGGAGGCAGGTGGTGGGAGTGCTGCTGCTGAGGAAGCTTCTGTAACCACCTCACTCCAGGACCCTGTCATTTCTGGGGGTGAGGAGCCCCCAGTGGCAGGGGTGGGTAGCTATGTGTACCCACCTGTGCAAGAATTTCCACTGGCCCTTATAGGGGGCAGCCGGGAGCCTGGTGGAGGTAGAGGGAAATCTGGGAGTGAGGGGCTGGTGGGGGGATCAGAGGGGGACCGGATGGAGGGGATGGGGGCCGCCAAAGTCACCTTCTATCCTGAGCCCTACCCACTTGTTTATGGCCCCCAGCTCCTTGCTGCCTACCCTTACAACTTCAGCAACTTGGCTGCTCTTCCAGTTGCTCTCAACATGGTCCTACCTGATGAGAAGGGTGGAGGAGCCCTTCCCTTCCTACCAGGGGTCTTTGGCTACACAGTGAATCCTCAAGCAGCACCACCTACTCTAACTCCACCTCCCCCAGCCCTGCCTCCATCAGTTCCCCCTAAGGGAGAAGGAGAAAGGGCAGGGGTTGAGAGAACCCAGAAGGGAGATGTAGGGTGAGGTCTAGGGTAGACCCTCCCCTTTCACCAAATGTCACCCTCCCTGAATCTCCCACCACTACCAGCTCCCTGGCCTCCTTGCCCTTTGGGAGCCCTGGCACACTTTTGTGCAGGGATTTGGGGGCCCCTGGAGCTCAGGGGTCAGGCTGCTTTGCTTGAGATTGTAGTTTTCCCATCTCTTGGGAAGGGATCTTTGGTGGTTCCCCTCTCAATCTTCCTCCAGGGAATGGCCCCTTTAAGGGGCAGGGCCAGCTCTCATCCCTTCTCTAGCCCTTGGGGCAACTGAGCAATATCTTCTTATCTGAATCTCTCTACTCACAACCCCCACCAGCTCTGAATGTCTAACCTACTCCCCTGATTTGTAAATCTAGGGAGAAACCATCTCTCTTGCCTAAAGATCTCCCTCATTCTGAAGCTTTCTCTAAGCCTACCCCAGATGCTTCCTAGTACATTCCATTCTTTGTGGCCCAGGGCCTGGACCAGACCATTGTGATACTCAGCCTACCCACATGGGAGCATGGCTTTAGATTCCGTTCTTCCCAGGGGTGGATTTCTTTCTCCCCACTTCCTCCACATCAAGATGCAATGCCTTCCTTGGCTTCCATGCCTTTGGATCTTCCATGTTCTTTCCTGCACTCCTAGGCTTTGGAGGTGGCCTCACCCAGCCCAGGTCAAGGAGGTGTTGAGGGGCGAGCTACCCCTCTGTTCCATGGCTGAACATTTTTCCAGCCAAGGCAGGGAAATCAAATCCAGTGATCCCCAGGTTCTTCCAAAGCAAAGAGGTGAACAGATCACACCTCTTCCTGCCTTTAAATATGGCCTCTTTTGGGCTAAGTCAGATTCATGAGCCAGGAGGGAAGAGCTCCATATGGTATGGAGAAAATAATCTACTTTTCCTCTTCCCCCACCTTTTTTTCTTTCTTCCTTCTTTTGTTTTTCTTTTTTTATTTATTTTCTGATGGTTTCTCCCATACTAGACCAAATAGCCAGAAAAATGATGGGGGTTGAATGGGTGGGAGGTAAGCCCGAGATTTGCACATGACCTTCCATCCTTACCTTTACCCCCATCTTTCCAAATGTGGCTCTCCTCATCACTCCAGATGGTTTTGGGGGAACCATCCTATTCTGGTGGGCTTTGGGGTATTCCCACCAACTTTCCCTCCAAAATAGCACCTTACACCCCAGCTTTGACTCAGTTCCCCACACCCAAAGATCCCAAGCTAGGGATGGGGTGCAGGGACCTTAAATAGTCCCTAACCCCTAATTTGCACTAGTTAACCAGGTCAGGGGTCCCTACCTTTCCTTCCAGTGAGGGTGATGAAGAAATGTTTGCTCCTAATTCTCTTTTGAAAACAGGGCCTCCCTGCTCTATGATTGGCTGAACATTTCCCATCCCACTCACCTCTCCAACAAAACAAAACAAAAGAGCTCATCAGCGGAGAGCCAGTTGGGGGAGCAAATTTGACAAATGGGTATTAGAGGAGTGCAGTTTTAAAAGGGGGAAAGTTTATTGTCATCCAAATGGCAGGCTTTCTCCCAACTACTGTTTTTAGGAGCCAAGATGGCTGCCTTCTCAGGAACTGCTGAGAGGGCAAGATCATGGCTTTTGGAGGGAGGTGAATTTGGGGAGGACTAGGAGCATCCTCTTGCCACCTCCTGCCCTCCCAGCCCCTAGGAAGCCGTTTCCACAGGCTCCCTGAATGTTAATCACGGAGGAATCACTCCTCATTCCTCCTCTGTCTCTTTGCACTTTTCTTGGTCTTGGCCACAGCCTGAGTGAAGAATTTCCTACTGAATGTACCAACTTCCAATTTTTAAGGATGAAAAATTTCAAACAGGAAAAAATGCAAAAAATCACAAAAATTCCCACAAATCTTGTTTCTGGCACTTTAGAAAAACTGCAAAAAATACATAATAAAGACATATATCTACACACAAATTACATATATATATCTATATCTATATCTATACAGCGGAACCACAAGAGACTAAGGAAAGCCTAGAGGCAAGGGATATAATGACAGTCCCCATATATCCTTCACCTGCACTCCTCTGAGGGAAACAAGCACAGGAGAATGGAAAAGGTTAAGAATGGACTGGGAAATTTGAATTTCAGAATAGGTCAAAATTCCAAAACCATGGATATTTTCAAAAAACTGAGATTGTATACATTTATTTTTTTTTGAAAATAAGATTAAGGAAAATAACATTCAGAATTTGGTGGTTCTGGACAACAAATGAGGTTGTGGCAGAGTAGAGGTTAAAATATGTATTTGAGCTGGGGGATTTGAATATCGTTGAGTTTTCAGATGTTGGAAATTTGGGCTTTGCAATCTTGTTATTTAAAAATGATCTAGTTTTGTCAGTTCATGCCCTTTCCCCCATGTTCCCTGGGAAGAAGGGTGATAGCAGTCCGGGAATGCCACTGGTTCTGTGCCACAGCACGCACGAATTAGAATTCTACAGATTCTAGCTCTATACGTAGTGAGGACCCAGATTTAGAGAAACTGACCAATATTTATCTTCGCATTTGTGTGTGTGTCCAACTCTAGGCCAATAAACCAACAAGACAAATGAACTGTGCACTGTGCTCCACAGTGGGATGCAAGGTGCTGTCACTTGTGTGGCTGGTGGGTCTGGGGGAAGATGTGGTGTCCTTGTCCCACAGTGATCCTTGGAGTTTTAATCATATTCCCCCTCCTTAAGATAATTTTCAGGAGTTGAGTAGGTGTGAGGCTTGGTCATTAATGGCATTAGTCTAATTGCTGTAGCCACTAGGTCCCAGCTGACTTTCAGACAAACATTAACTCAGTCCACCTCATACAGCCCTGGTGCAAGATTGGTACCTTTTTTTTGGGGGGGGGCGGAACTGGGGATTGAACTTAGACCTTTGTGCTTGCCAAGGAAGTGCTTATTCCACTGAGCCATCTCCCCAGCCCCAAGATTTGTACTATTTCTTGGGAGGCTGAGACAGGAGGATTGCTATGAGTTTAAGGCCAGCTTGGGCTACATAATGAGTTCAATGCCTGACTGAATTACAAAGCAAGATCCTGTCTCAAAAACAAAACAAAAATTAGAATCTTTGAACAGTTTTGTCTTATGCCAGGTCCACCCCCTTTCCCATTTGAAAGTAAACTAAGGCACAAAATGTGTGATAGCCTCAAGTGACAATCTTTTTCCATCTCTCTCTCTTTTTTTTTTTTTTTTTTCAGTACCAGGAATCAAACTCAGGACCCTCTGCTTTCCATACAGGCATTTGTGTCACTAGGCTATATCCCAGCCCCCTTTTTCCACTCTTAACCTTCCCAATGGCTTCATCTCTTCCAGCCCTTCCTTTCTCTTTTTTTTTTTTTTTTTTGTGGCACCAGGGATCGAACTCAGGACCTTGTACTTGCCAGGCAAGCACTTATTCCACTGAGCTATCTCCCCGGTCCTCTATCATTTCTAATATTATGGAAGAATGGAGAGGTAAAATGAAATTTGTTACGTGAATGGGAGCTTTGTGGAACTTTGGCACAAATGCCTTGACCACAGCAGGCAGTCACTAATCAGTAAGTTACTGCTAACATAATCAGTTCTGGTATTATTATAGTTTTTAAGTTCTTTTTCAAGGGCTGGCCAAATAGCTCAGTGGATTAAAGTACCTGCAAGCAGGTGCAGGGGCCAGAGGTTAGATCCCGGGGCACGCTGAGACTGCAATTGAGAATGGGCATGGTGGTGCATACCTGTAATCCCAGCTCTTGGAAGGCTGTAAACAGGTGGATCACTACAAGTCCGATATAGTAGTGAGACCCTGAACACCCTGTAGACTATTCCCTAAAATAAATAAATAAATATTTTTCAAGAAAGCCAGAAAGCCAAATGTCTCAGTGAAATATAAGTTTATTCATTTATTTGATGGAACTGGGGATTGAACTCAGGCCTTTGTGCTTGCCACGGAAGCACTTATTCCACTGAGCCATCTCCCCAGCTCCCCCATTTATTTATTTTTGAGACAGGGTTTCACTCTGCAGTTCAGGCTGGCCTCAAACTCAAGGTGATCTTTGTACCTCAGCCTCCCAAGCACTGGGAATAATACAGGCAAATGCCACCACACCAGCCTCCAAGCTTGTTCTAATTAGGTGCTTTAGACCACTGAGCCATCTCTCCAGCCCCTAAACTGCCTTTTTTCTTTTCAAATTGCAAATACAACTTTTTTTTTTTTTTGCGGAACCGGGGATTGAACTCAGGCCCTTGCGCTTGCCAGAGAAGCACTTATACCACTGAGCCATCTCCCCGGCCCAAAATATTCGTTTTTTTCTTTTCTCTTTTGGAGGAACTGGGGCTTGAACTCAGACCCTTGCGCTTGCCAGGGAAGCACTTACTTTACTGAGCCATTTCCCAGCCCCCTGCAAATACAACTTTAAAAAACAAAAAAACTAGGGATTTTTACATTTATTTATTTATTTATTTATTTATTTTATGTATTTAGTACAGGGTCTCACTACGCAGCTTAGATTTGTAGTGATCCTTCTGTTTTCAGCCTCCCCAGTGCTGGGGTTACAGGCATGCACCAGCAGGCCCAGACTTGGGTGGCCAGCTCCCCTGGGTAGGGGCTGGCACAGCATGTGGTGCTAGAGATCAAAGTCCAGTCACTGTGCTTGTGTAAGCAGGCATTTAGTCTTCTGAGCTATCTCACCGGCTCTGCAAATACAACCTTTTATTTTGTTTGTTTTTTTGCGGAACTGGGGATTGAACTCAGGCCCTTGCACTTGCCAGGCAAGCGCTTATTTCACTGAGCTATCTCCCCGGCCCCAATGCAACCTTTTAGAAAACTTTTTTTCCCTCCCCATTCTTTTTTTTCCCCCTTCCCATTCTAAATATAGTATTTATTACAAAAGATGATTACAGGCAGGTTAAAAAAAAAAAAGCCTACTCCCAAACATGCAAATGTAGGCACTATTAATTGGTGTATTTTCTTCTAGAAATTTCCTCCCTTAGGGTAACAAAGGTCAAACTCAGGGCCTTGTTTTGCCACGCAGGTGCTTATGTTGCAGCACTGTCTCTATGGCCCCCTCTCTACTCAATAAATGTTCAGTACTTACTGTAGGGTCAAGACCTCTGCAAGGACCTGGGACAGAACAATGAAAAAGATACATGCTGCCTTCATAAGGCTTACATTCTAGTTTATGCCTTTGTTCTGTATCATGGGCATGTAGGTATTGATATCCAAAGCAGCTTTCTCCATATCCCAGAAAGTAAATAGCTGATAGGCACATCATCGATGGGGTCCAAGGCACCCTGCCCAATCCCAGAGGTGAAATAATAGGGTTGGATTCTTAACTGAAGGCAAAGATAGACCAAACTCTCAGTTCAAGTGGCTGAGGACTTGGAACTTGGATCCTGTCTTCAAGGAAAGGGGTCGGCAGGGGGCAAGTGGTAGGTGGCATCTAGGAAAATGACAAGGGTCCCGACGCTCGTGAAGATGATGAAGGTCCACAGGAAAAGGCGATCCACTACCATGGCCACAAACTGCCAATCCTCCTTCAACTGGGGTTAAGCGGAGAAAAACTACTGAGCTCCAGACCCTGACGGCAGGGGAACCCACCCCCACAACTCCGTACCCTACCCGGGTTTTTCTATCCCGGGTCTGGGAATAGCACTGGCAATGTAAAAAGAGAACTAGATTAGGGCGACTAACGCTAGCAATTAGTTTGAAAGCGGGGGGCGGGACCATATGAACAAGCCTCCAATCAGAAGCAGAGTCGGTTTTAGGGGCAGAACCTGGATTTAGAGGTGGAGCTAAAATAACGCAGATCCTGTCCCCACTCCGCCCTTATCGAACTCACTGCATCGTAGTCCTCCTGTTCCTGCAGCTGTCGAGCCATGTAATTGATCGAGGAAACAACCTCGCGTAGCTCAGGGGGCAGGCCCACCACTGCCCGGTTTGGACCATCGATAAATCGTCTCAGGTCAGGGGCAGACAGTTCAGGCTGGAACCTGGAAAAGGCATGACTGGCCACAACACCCGGTGCAACCCCAGCCCGTTACCTAGGCCACACCCCAGGTGCCTCTTTCAACAGCCTGCCATTTCCCAGAAAGGGCCCTTCAGGGCCTCGTTGCATCTTTCTAGGCTTCCACACAACTATTCACCCGTCTAAGATTGTAGTTGTAGCCATCTCGCAAAGCAAGCAGCTGAAGTACTACAACTCCCATGATGCTAAACCACATTTTCCATAAGCACGAGCGACAAACTTCTGCACAGTCTTCTGGGAACTGTAGTTCCCTCTGTCCCTTCCATGTTGGTGATTGGGTATAGGTCCTACCTGTTGGGTTTAGGGAAGAGAAAATTACAAGGCGGCTTCCGAATGAAATATTCATCTGTTCCCCGACCCCATCCACTTCCTGGAGAAAAAGAGTGAGGGGGTTCCGGTAGCTGGTCTCTGTCAGGTTTGGGTCTCTTCATACCCAGGTACAGAGGGAGTTTGTGGATGAAGATCTGGAGAATAAGAGGCATATTAGAAAGCAGTGTCGGAGCTGGGGAGATAACTCAGTTGAATAACCACTTGCCTGGCAAGCAGAAAGGCCTGAGTTCGAGCCCCGGCTAGGGGGTGGGGGGGAGGACCCGGACAGCAAGCAATGTCATGCATTAATACAATAAAAGAAGCAGCTAACCACAGCCATTCCCATTCTGGCACATTGTGTGAACAGGGTCCAACAGAGCTACACAGACAACAAAATGCAAACCTTGAAAAGTGTGTGTGTGTGTGTATGCGTGTATGACATTGGAGGTGGAACCCAGGGTTGTCCTCTAAGCTACATCATCAAGATCCCCCCTTTGTTTTTTTGTTTGTTTGTTTGTTGTTTTTTTTTTTTTGAGACAGAATATCACTAAGTTCTGTAGGCTGAGCTTCAATTTGCAGTTCTCCAGATTTAGCCTCCAAAGAGTGCTGGGAGTACAGGTGTGCATCACCACACTGGCTTTAAGAGCTCTTTAGTGCATTGAGAGGCTTCTGAGAAGCGCTGAAGATTTTCATCCTGATAGTTCCTATCCCTGATAATTTTTCCTGGAATCAAAGATGGACAGTATTGATAAAGAGTATGAAGTTTATTAAATGATAAAGATGAGATAATATAATTCATTGTGTGGTGTTTTAATACTCAGTAGGCTTGGGCATTCCAAAACTCAGTAGCTATAGTTCTACCTAACGTCTGTAAATAGGAAGTTGGGGTTGGTGGAAGGAGGAGTGATATCTGGACAAAAAGCCAAGTATTGGGACTTGGAGTTAACACAGGTTGGAGGAAGCTTTCTTACCTGACGGACCCAAAGTGGCATTTGGTGGGTGTGGGGTGAGCGGTGATGCAGGTTGAGGACCACCACACTAAAGATGACCGAAAAGGTGACAAGGATCATTGTAAACATGAGATACTTAATAATGATGGGGACCGACAGGGAGGTCTCAGGCACTTTGCCCGCCAGGAGCAGCAGGAACACAGTAAGGGTCAGCAAGGCAAAGATTGAGAGTCCCATCTTCTCTCCTTGGAGGGCAGAGGAGAAGGTAGAAGAATTAGGCTTTCTCATAAGAAAATCTATGTGGC